CAAGTAAACAATTGCTTGTCACTCAAAGTGAAAATGCCACGACATACAGATTTTGAGTCTTCTTTACTGCAAACAGACATGAGAGGATGGTTGCCTGACTGTGACATAAAGCAACTGAGTAGCGGCCTGTTAGCTTTGACAACCTAATTTTTTAGCAGCAGGCAGGCTCCCTGTGCATGTTTGTGTGTGGTTCTGCACGCTGCTAACAGATTTAGATCTCTATTTAGGGTGAGCTCCGGAGGGTGGATGCTGGATGTGGGGATGACAGCAGTCACAAGAGGGTTGAGTTGCATCTGATGTAGCCGTCAGCCGACAGACAGACTTATTGCACCGGCTATCCCCTCCTGAGCCGAGGCCCAGATACATACGGTATTTGGCCAAATGTTGGCTCTTTGGCCCAGTTTATGCCCAGACTAGTGAAGAAGCTTGTAGGTTTTTGGGATATCCCTATAATAACTCTGTCCTCCATCCTGTGGGTTTATGATAAACAATATGGAGGAAAAGTTAGGTTTTTCCTTTTATTTTGAAGAAACAAGAAGGATTTGTCATAAAAGAACTAGATTTTAGTCGTCACGCTGAGCAACTGTTATAAGCATATGCTTTTAGCTGAAACATTAACATAAATCTGTCACACAAGCGCATTCTCATACGCTCATATGCATTCATACATATGCAAATTTTGTAAAATGCTCACACATACACGAACATATAGTTACATCTCTGGTGCACTCTTATGTTCTCAGTGTGTGCTAGAGAAGTTATTTGCACCAGAAAATGTATCAGATCGGTGGTTAAATTAATAATTCTCTTAGGGCAACTGTAGAACAGGAACAGCAAAAAGCTTTTACTGATGGGATGTTTGGCACTTGGCAAACCATACATATTTGAAAAATTGCTGGAGACAGATTTGGATTACAACACAAGCCAAAACAATGTCTCCGCTTGACTGGAGTAACAGCAATTTTAGTACAGTTTAAAGATAATGTTTGAAATACTGCAGTGAATTAATCATACTAAGATAATTCAATTTAGTAAAATGTTTGTTAAGGATAACTTAAAGCAGATTAAACGTCTATTTACAACAACAGCATTGATTCAAGCAAAGTCTGTGACATTACATCATTTTAATGCAGTGCAGTTTTTCGACAGACTCATTTTGTCCTCATCATTCTGGCTTATGGGTATTGGGTATTGATGACTCACTGAAACTCTTTAAACAACCTCCCCTGAACTAGGAATAATAACTAAGAATTTTTGCTTATTTAGAAATTCAAGGAGTGATAGAGGAAAAAACATTAGAGCTCCTTTTGACAGATTCCCGTCTACGTCTTATGGGAGACTTTAAATTAACAGTTAATATGTAGCAGTTTGGTGTGCTGTGCAGCTTAAATGGTAAAGCAGGAGTAAGGAGGAAAGTTTTGTCTGCAGTCGGCCCAGGTTTGTCTCCCAGCCTGAGGCTCTGCTGTATTTCTTACCCCGCTCTCTCAGCCACTTTTCTTTCCGCCCACTGTCAAGTCAAGGCCACTAGTGCCCAAAAACCCATAACATAATCAAGAAATGTAGCTTGAAGGTCGGCCTGCAGCCCTTCTAGAGAAGACGGCTGTGGACAGATGGACTATCTCAACTGATCTGCAAAATGTCAGCAATCTACCACTCTGTCTGTCCTCTGTAATAACTGCGGTATCATTAGGTATTTTTGTGGATACAGATTTTGTGCTGCTCGCTGCATGTGTGTGGGGTTGCTCATGTTGCTCTGCAGGCTGGGATCCGCTCTCTCAGACGCCAGCAGAGACCGTGGGGTCAATATTGTGAGGACAGCAATGATTTTTGACAGGAAAGCTCTGACGGGTTCTAATGTAGCCTGCTGCATGGTGCAAAGCGGCAGAGTGGAAATTGGTTCCTACTGGGCAGTGCGGGGTCATATCGCTACAGCTGACAGTTTGACACTGAGTATGCAAATGCTGTGTGTGATATGGGGACGAGGGAAAATGTTTCAAATCCGCAATTGATTTGTGGAACTGTGCATTGGAATGCAAAGGTTAGGGCATTTTGCTGGTGTAATTTTGGGGGAGGATAAAAATAAAAATTCCCTTCTGCTCCCATTATGTCTTAGCTCTTTGAATATTGCAAGACGCTTTAGTAATTAAACACTCTGTACACCTAACTTTGTGATCATTGTTAGTGTTTGTCTTCATAAAAGTTGCATGAAATCAAAGAAATAAAAAAATAAATCTATTTTTGTTTTTACATCTCAGAATTGTGAGGAGGAATGTTTAACAAATGCCGCAACTCATAAAAAGGGAGTATTGTATGGTATTGCAAGCATTATTCTACTGTTGCCTTAAGAAGAGAATTATTGTGACCTCTGTGCTTAAGTTTGCCTATAAAATGTTAACCAAGTACATTTCTGTTTGAGATCTTAAGTTGTTGTATAGTCAGACAGAGAAGAAGTTAGCCTCCAGTTTTTTTTAAAGATTACTAAAACTTTGCAATTAGAAAGGATGAATCTGAGTAAAGATATAAAGTGAGGCCACTAGAGTTTAAAATGAAGTGGTTTGAGAATCCCAACTTAAAAGTGCACCTGTACTAAAGAGATTACCTTTCAAGAACACATCCCAGCAGAACACAAGTTTCAGCGACAGGTTCATGAATATTGATGAGGCGGGATAGCATGTCCTAATGCAGACTAAGAGGGGTGGTGGCCTTGTATTCTCACACCCACTGACTTCTACGTGGAGGCTGGGTGGTGCAGTGGAAATGACATAAAACCAGCTTTAATGTTTTATTCAGCTCATCTCCTGTTGACTACAATGGAACATTAAGAGTGCACAACATCTCCTGTTTGCACTGATTTCCTCTCCCTCCTGCTGCTTTCTTTCCTCTCCGATTTGCATTTTGTTTTTTTCTCCTTGCAATTACTGTGTTGCTTTTTATGCATATCAAGTGTTGTATCCATTCAAAGAAACGGCAAGAAAAGATGATAAACATATTGCGCCAATGTGAACATTTCTTGCTGTTCTCCCTTTAACTAATGCTAATAGAATGATGTGTTGCTTATTCATTTAAACTGAATAAGCAAGTGGACAAAGCACAATGTCCAGGGCTGAGGTGAGTGGCTATGTGAGCACCTTTCCAACATTTTATCTGTTCTTTTTGTGAAGCACAGAACAGCCCATGCGACAGTCCCAGGAACACTTTTCATATCACTTTTGAAGTGCTTCCTACTTTTAGGTATAAATTATTGATGAGTTGTCACTTTGGTGAAAGTCTGTGGAACTCATGTACTCATGTGTGCTCTTGTTTGATACTCCTACTGGGGGAATTAAGATGAGTTCATACACACCTATGGGGACTATTGTCACCATGGGGATAGAAACTAGACTCCCCACGGACAGACACTCCTCAGATTTAAATCTGGATAAATCTGGATAGATTTTAGATCTTTGGCATCTTTGGGCAAAAACACTCATCATAATCTTAATAGCATATTTGAATTAGGGCAAGCAGGTATGATAACAAATATGTGAGGTATCCATTAGCCTGCTAAATTTGGCTAAATAATTATCTAAAAATAGAAAATAATTGTTCTAAATTTGTATCTCTCGTATTTCCTGTCAGGCACCCCAAGAACTGGCAATATACCAACTGGACTCTGTTTTGGGCCCTATAGGTATGAGTAAACCACCTCTGGTCATTTCCGGTGTAAATAATTATGGAGAGCTGCTGGTACCTTGTTTATGTTTTGATTAGCAATGACAGCTGCTGATAGGTAAACGATGGTTAAATCTGCTTTACAAAAATGTAAGTAACCACAAATAGTCTTGACTACATTTGTTTATTGATTTATTAAGGATGTGTATGGCAGCAATCGGTCATGTTTACCTCTAAAGACAAGGTCGACATGAATGAGTCTTGAAGTATAGACATAATTGTTAACAAGTGGTGCACTGGTTTCCTCATTTAGTTATAAGCAGGTGTATCAGAAGAGTTTTGTCACAGGTATTTACTTACTTTAGGCTTTTTGTGTCTTCCAGGAGTGGTGTGGGGAGCCATGAATGCACATGTTATTGGTTCCTGGGGAGAGAATGTTTAGAGGTGGGACTGGTTCAGAGGAGAAATGTTAGGCAATTAGTGGTTGGGTTAATTATTGTGATAGTTTCAGTTGCTTGGATTGCAAAATAGATGTAAAGATGCGTATGCTCTTGGTTTCTTGGTTATAATAATAAAATTGCCTTTACAACAGTTGGTTATGGTGTGATGCATTCTAAATAAGCAGTTGGTTTTTATCACCTGTGTTGGGCAGGTCTTGGTCCATAATGTTTGACCCCATGTATGCCTTTTTTTTTATTTGCTGTTGTCCCCATTTGTTTTGCCTCTATGATTGCATATTGAAACTAACTATACCATAAATCACACATTAAAAGTTTTGTGTGTCAGTAATACCGCTGTCAGCAAAAAAACAAAATAAAAATAATACACACACACAAAAAAGCCCCCAAAAAAACAACACAAGTCAGGATTTTGCAAGAGAAAAAAGATATAGTTGTCATCTTCATTGTATCCACCATCAGGTGTTTTTACAAATGTGCTCACAGTAGATAGCTAACAAAGAGGTCCCACTGCCAGTTGAGAGCTTCACACACAGACACCCACCAGAAGTATCTTATCTCACAGTTTCTACGCATAGATACATCTCTGTCTTATATTATGTAACATCTGCTAAAATATGTGACTCATGGCACACTTATCCTCTGCACAGGCTGCGATATCAACACTCAGACATAATTTTCTTTTCTGAATATCACAGGAGAGAAGAAGTCAAACTTCCAAACAGTCATCATGCACATTCAAAATGCCAAATGACTTCTTGTGTTTGTGGTTTTGTAATGGCATGACAACAAACAAACATAAAAATCCCGAACAGTTTGTTTTCCTGCATTGCTGTTTTTTTCCCAGTTTTCTCCACTTGCACTTCAGTCGATTCGGCATTGTGGCGATTCTAGTTTTCTTCTTGAGAACCTCTGCCATCAAAATTCCTTCTTACAAATATTACCATCTTGTGTTGTCCTGGGGGTAAATTTTGGTCCATCGAAAAATTTCTGGTTCAGGATTAATTTATTTTTAATTAATGTATCCAGTAAAAAATGGGCAACTTATTTTTATTCCACCTTCAGCTTATTTGCAATTTCAAGCAGTTTTCATAAAATAATCATTGTGTGTGGCTCAGTGCAGATAAACACTATGAATACAAAACTCTTGTTCTTTTTAAAACAGAAACATCTCCTGCAGCTACTGTTTACTTATACACAACACTTTTTTTGCCTTGTTAAACTATTTCACCACCCCACATTGTACAGTTAATATAACAGTGATTGCATAAAAAACATTGCTCATTCATAAGTCTGCTAAAAAAAATAGTTTCTAATCAGGTCGCATGGTTGTCCCCTCACTGTGACATGAACTGTGCCATAATAAAATCTTTTTATGTGTTTAGAATAATAATGAAAGGAAAATAAAAATAAAAGAAAAAACGGAAAAAGTGTGGACCGATGTTATCCAGCAGACGAACTCTTCAGTCCTCTCCTTTAGCCCGTAGAATTATGCCTGTCAGGGCCACTCTCAGAGCCAGTTTAAGAAAGCAGGGTGAGTCTTTTTGTGTTTTTTCAAGGCGCTACAAAGCTCAACTGAAACACACTTTACACACACTACGTATGAGGCCGGTACACTGCAGTGGCTGATGTAATACTCAAGTATCAAAATGTTTTTTCCTCTTTCCATGAGTAAGATGTTAACAATAAGCCAGCTCAAAAGGTGACTTCTATGTTCACTTACAAGCATGTGCTGTAATGCATTACGCGGCTATCAGTAGAAAGCGTTGCCATTGCAGAAGCATATACTAGATAGGCTTCAAAAAGGCAAGTGAATGCAATGTTTGCATGCATTGAATTACATCCCAGTTGTATTGTACATTGGCTGCTACATGGATTAGTGAGAGATTCTTTCCTCAATAGCAACAGAAAAATAAATCTTGTCAACATGTTGCCCTTTTTAGAGAGTTTCTGTCATGTCCAGACTGCATCTGACATCATTATTTAGTGCTGTGGGAATGTTTTCAACAGTAGATGAGTCACAGAATTAGACAGACCCTCTTCAGAGAAAATATTTGAAAGCCTCTGTGCTGAGTTTTTCTTTTATCTCCAAGTTCAGATAATGTTGGATATTTGAAGATGGGTTGAAAAATTACACATAATTTCAAAACAAACCAATCCATCACACTGACACACAACAGTGGATTCAAAGGAAAAAATACCCTTGTGTTTTGAGTTATGGAAAATCATGCAGTCAGTGATGGCTGAGGTCATCAGGAGTTTTCTTGTCCTTGGATTTGAAAGTCTGGGCCTGAGTAGGGTCTCAAGTGGTCTGAAAGTAAGCCATGTGCACGCCACCATCATCACATTCACTGCATATCAGAAGCATGAAGAGAGCAAAGAACATATCCAGACTAGGATCACTGTCAGAGCACTTGGGGGACTGAGGTACAGAGTAATTATTACATCTGTTTCATGACGATCATTGTAACGATTATTACCACTCTGGGCGATGACATCAGTTGAATTTTAGGATTGTGGTTCACACAGGAGTTACATGGCAATACTCGGCCACAGGTCTTTTGATGGTCGTCAGTGTCAAACTCATCAAACACAAGGTGCTGAAGAAATCTCAAAGTTAGAAATCAACACGTTCATTTACCGCACACATACTAAAGATGTGTGCATAGATGCTAGTGACACCCAGACGTACACACACACACACACTAACACACCGGTGATTCATTTTCAAAACTCTCTGAAATAAGTCCTCTTTTTTTGGAAGTTGTTTATCCCAGCAATCTCCGTCTTTGTCTCTTTTCCTTTCCAGAGCGGTCTGTCTCGGTGACTTACTGCTGGTGTTGCTTTAAGCTGAAAGTAAAACACAATAAAGAATTAGTTAGTATTGTTCAGTCTCTGAAGATCTGACTTCACATGGATCATTTCTCACAGAGAACATCAAACCATCTGAGAAGAAAACTATTCAGTTTCTGCCCTGCCGTGTTCCTGGGAGGTAATCCCATTTACCTGTAACTATGTCACCAGCTATTTTCATTACAGAAGAGCGAGCACGATAAACAAAGTTCTCAATAGGAAAGACAAATACCCAGGGACATTCACAGTAACCTTAAATGTTTGTCATTTTTCAATATCTAGAGTTGAAAATATATTAAGAAAACCACTGTACAACTAAAAGTGAAGCATTAACCAATACTCCTGCTCCACAATCTTCTCACAATTATAGTTGTCTGATATAGCTGGTACCTTACTCTTCTCCAAATTAAACCAAAGGAGATGGATTGGAGCATAAACCCTCAATTTTTAAGGTGCAGTGTTTCCGGCAATTTTCTTTTTATCTTGACCTGTTGATTGTTTTTCATGATGACAGGCACTGTGGCTGCATTATGTAGCTTTATCACCAGGAAACAAAGCAACTGCTGCGGCAATGAAGCCACATCTTACTAAAACAAAGAAGATAAGTTGGATTAAACATCATACAATACAAGATAAGCTTATTTTTGTCTTTTAAGAAGAATAAAATCTTGCAGAGTTAAGTAGCAGATCTTTCGGAATAATCACTCAGATAACAATGTTGAAAAAAAAAGAGGTACATTTTATTCAGAAGCCTGTATATCACAATAGAAATCCCTGCACTGATTCTCTTCCATATGAGAAGATTTTTTTTGTGTTGTTGCTTATCTGCTCAGTTTTAGGCGCTCTTTTTGCTTTCATGCTGTACTTCTGATGTGAGCTTAGCTCTCTCTGCTTTTACTGCGGATGAGAGAGACAAATGATAACAGACAGAAATAAAAAAGAAGATGTTTTCCTCTCTACAAGGCCATCGATTTGAGTCTGGAGTGAAAATGCTTTCGCAGACAGCACAACAAATTCCACCATTTTCATCACAGTCTTTGGTAAAATGCCACCCTTCACTGTGCTCTAATTGGAGAATGGCAATCCACACCCCACCCTTTCTCACACACACAGAGTGCAAATGCTGCAACGGAGTGAGAGAAAAAGGGAGGATGCACAAGCAACCTAGCTGTCAGCACCTATCCTGGTAATGGCTGTTAAAAATGTGGCCTCTACACCCTGTCTGCTCTGTCAGGATTCATCAATTGAGTTGCATTCTTAAAAAGAGTGTGCGTATGTGTGGTAGCTTGAATTGTTCTCTGGGAGGGGACAGGTAACAGTGAGGAAGGATGGGAGGGCAACAAGATGAGACAGGCTCAGTGGGATGAAAAGATTTTTCTCTGCAATAATACCCAAATGTTTAGAAACTTCTGCATACCTTAAACGTCTGAAAACACACTGACTTGCAGCTGATCTCATGAGCCAACTTTACAGATTTTCCCTCTTGACTTATTTAACATTTCCTCTCTTTATGAGTTAAAAACATTAAATATTGAAAAAGACAAACATTTGCACATATTTTCCTTCCCCTTTGTTCTCTTCAAACCTCTTGGTACAGAATCTGCTGAGTCAGCACATAGCAGATTTAACACATGAGAAGCTTTAAGCAAATTATGACAAAACTAACAACCTAACATGACATAATTGTTAATCAGTTTCTACATTGGTTATAATTTCAAAACTCTTTAAAAGCAGAGGGCACCCTTCATATAGTCACCAGAGGAAGTTATTATTATTATAGTCGTTTTGTTACATCATGTATAAGTGAGCCCTCACTGGTCTGTTATTATGGGAATTTGACTGTTTAATAAATTCAATCCAATTTGCTGTAGTCATTTTGAAATTGTGTCATTTTTTTGACAATGAAATATTTGGCAGTCTGTCAGCGAGGTGGTGACAAGTTTACTGATTAGGATCCAGGCCCCAAAGGAGCACTATGCAGCAAAATTTAGCTAATTTGAATCCCCTGCAGCATATGGACATATGTCCTTCACTGTCAAACACTGCCCACGTTATCATTTTTGTAGACTGGCCAATGTAGCTCTGATTGCTGGTTCTAAATTCTGGTCCATACTGCTGACTTGTATCTGCATGCTTTCTCCCTATAATAGAACTGCATCACACCTCAATGAATTCTTTTTTCCCCCTAAACCATCAAACATTATTGTGATTTTGCAAAAGGTGTATTTTTTACCATTACATGGTATCATCATCTCTAATTAAATTATTGAAGTATTTGAAGTAAAGTCCTTTTCTCTAAGGCTGCTGGAAGGTAAGTTAATACTGAAACACTAAGATGGCCGTCAGAGCCGTATATAAAAATTGAGCAGAGGATGGGGAGGAAAAAGGTCATGGTCTTTGAGTAAATGTTGCTGTTAATAGACTAATCCAGTAATCTGTTCCTGGGTCAGATGTGTGTGATGGAAAATGTATGAGGATAAGAATGTGTGAGAGAGGGGGAAGGGCAGAGCTGCATGCGGTTCCATAGCCATGGGAGGTGTTTCCTAGGATGTAAAGGTCACCTCAGCACACTGTTTGTTTGAACGTGAGGAAGCAAAACACATGGAAAAATATTAACGCTCAAACATGCAATTCTGAATATACAAGTGCATGCTTAATCTAGTAAAGGCACAAATAAATTAATAACCCTTTTTTTAATATAGTCTCTCATCTCATAGTAGAACTGTAAACAGACTCTGGGGACAACCTAACTGTCAAGATTCAGTCACGACTGCAAACACGTACACTTCCCTCACTAATACTCTTACATTAATCATGTCAAGTAAGAGTTTATGAATGAAGCTTAATTACTTTCCTTGATTAAAAGCAAACATGTACCTTAGAGAGCTTTCTTACTGACAAAAAGTAATAAAAAAGAGAGCCAAAGTTTATAATGGTTTCCCTCCTCGACCTCTTACCACTGTAACCCGACCTCAGACATATTGAATGGAATAATCAATGCAGGATAAGGTTACCTCTCTAATCTTCCTAATCACAATGCACTTGTCCAGTAATCTATTTGATTTGAATGACCTTAGTTGCGGAGGGATCAAATTGAAATTATAATACATGCAATACATATATTTATATAAATATACACACACACACATACACTTACATATTGATCTATTTGTGTGTGTGTGGTGGTAAACACTGTGAAGAAGTAGCAGTAGCTGAGGGACTGTAGGTGTACTGACTCCCTCCACAACTTCAGTGTCTGCATTAGCATGCACAAGGTGTCTGTGTGTATATCTATATACACACAAGGATTTTTGTGTAGAAGGTGTGGGGGTATCTTTGAGGGAGATATGGAAAGCCCGAGGCTTAAGCCCATGTCTGCTTTTGTTCAGTGGTAAAAAAAAAAAGGGAACTGCTAGAGAAAACCCAATCAGAAACAGTCATGGATTTGCCTTTCACCTTCCCTTTAGAGGACAGGAAATGCACTTGTGCACTCAAGCACCCAAGACAGGTTACACTCGCGCACCCAGCAAATGTGGATTTCTTACCGGGTCAGCAGCTCAAAATTAGCATTCAGAGCTACTTTCCACTGAGTTCCATTGTCTCACATTCTCTTCACAGAACAGAATTCAGGGAGGAGAGATTTAAAAAAAATATTGTTGACTGAATTAAATTGCTCTACCCAGTGCAGTTCTAACTGCTATTATTCAAAGTAAAAAAAAAAAAAAAAGGTCGTATTAAATTTAGCATCTAATGTTGAGGAGGAGGTGTCACAAAATGCCTGTGGGAGGAGAGCAAGCCTGAAAAGAAGAGTTTCTTCTTATTTAGGTTTTCTTCCAAAGACAGAAGATTTCATCAGGACGACTGCTAAAATTTGCTTTACTTGCAGTAACAATTCAGTAAAAATGTTCTCAGAACTCTTACTTGAACATGTCGTGCAGTATCTAGGTTTTTGTTTTGCTCCAAGTGTTGCTTTAATCTAGTTCTGTTGCTTATTCTTATGGATCAATGAGCAATATAAAGACAAATATTTAGGAAACTTATTTAGGGATAACTGCCTGATGACATTTAAATTGTTCAAAGATCATAATTAATCATCTCCTGATTCCACACTATCTCTGGAACCATACAAGAGTTTATCTGTGAATGCAGGCTTTGGGTCTCTTTAGAAACAGAATATTGTTGTCGCCAAAAAGTGTTTGGCTCATGTTGGCCGACAGCTTTAGGTGATTCCATTGTTCACTTTTTGCCACTTAGCTATGAGTTTTTAAAAGAGCTGGAGTTAGGGACTTACGTTTGGATTTAGTGTTCATCTGGTTCAGTTCTGTACGTTGCCTGCCTGTGTCCTTGTTGGCTGGCCAACTGAGTACACTGGCTTTATGAGAACATACAATAAACTGAGAACATGCTGCAGTCATCCTGCACAGGTCCAATTACAGCAGCCAGTCTGGACCAACTGTGCGGTGCAGTGTTTCAAATGACCTGCAGCTGCCGGCACAGTTAGGGAAGCCTGTAGATTGATACATCCAGCTGCATAAAAAATAGAGAAATCTGTTGTTGTTTTATGGTGACACATGCCTAAACACACAAACACACGAGTGTACAACGCGCACAGACCCTAAAAAAAAAAATAGACCGAGGTGCTCCCACACCTCACACAGATGTCTCTTCGGTGAGAGATAATCCTCCGCCGCTGTCAGCTGTGTTTTCCTCTCATCCGGAAAGCTCCTTACACAAGCCAAAGCTCATCCTGGGTGCGAAACAATACACACACACACACACACGACTCGCTCGCGCACACACTCGTTCAAACTTAGTGTAGGAAATTTTGCATGACCTTGTGATGTCTTGTCCACCGAGTAAACAGCTCAGAAATATAAATGGAAACAATGCTATTGCCTCCTTCTGTGTTTTAACACAAACACTGTGCGCAAGCTTTATACACATTCTACTTGACAGCTTGTTCTTAAAAGAAACAGAGTTAGATAAAAAGAAAAAAAAAATGTACTCAGGCCATGTGCCAGCCGACCAAACAAACTGAGGCACACACACGAACACATAGCGCATACACACACTCTGTCAGTCCTGGGCACTTATGTCCTCCTGTATCTGAACAGGCAATGATTTAGGGGTTGTTTTGTCACTTATTCGTACTGTGTGTGTGTGTGTGTGTGCGTGTTTGTATGTGCAGTTATGTGGAAAAGTGACAGTTTACAACACAAGTGGGGCACTGTTTCTATCACGGTGGTATAAGGCAGGGTAGAAAGTGAAATCTGAAGCATACTGATGTAAGAGCTGGTAGAAGATGTGAAAGACTGAGACAGAGCTAACGGCTGCTTTAAACTCCCGTTCTCAGACCAGTATTGTGTTTCACCTGCACGACTGGGTGAAGACAGAGGAAGTGAGGTTGATGAGGCGGAACCTTTGGTCTTGTTCTCTGTTTCCCGGTGGATCGATACAGTGGTGCAATAGAGCTGGACAGACTTCTTTTCTGTACCGGTGTTCGTGCTCATGGGCATTTGCAGTAATTCTGCAGCGTCACAGCTGTCATGTTTGTGCTTCCAGAGCTCTCTCACACCAGTGTACTGTTAAAAATAAAGAACTTTCATTTCCGAACATAATCAATTTATCCTGACAATAGGTGTTTACGCGCAATGGCTCAAATAAAATAGCTTTTAAACTACATCTAAACATATTATACTGAGTGTGAAATGCATCATTATGCACAGCAGTGCTTTAGTCAAGTGACACAGCGTTAAGATGTTTCCAAAATGTATCTTTTTCTTTTCTTGCCATCCCTGTGACTTTCGCTGTTCTGATCGATAAGAGAGCAACGGCAGCACAGATCAGACTTTGCACTCATTTTTTATCAAATGTCATCTATTTCATGCCTCTCTCTTCCCGTAAGCCTGTCTGATAGAGACAATGAATGACTTCCACCACCTCTTTGTAGAGTCTTTATCCACGCTACCCTGCAAATCTCCTACTTCTCCATCAGTTTTTATTCTATGCTCGGTGGTTTGTGAATACCCCCTTTCCATTCTGCAATTCTCAGAAAATGTTGGGTTCACCTCATTGTCCACTTCAGAAGTGCTTTATGTCTCTGGCTCATTTGTCATTTGTCATTACACTTTAGCAGAGGCCTTGATGCAGTTGGGTTGTAGTATCTTTTGTTTAATAGTCGCATATTTTCTTTCAAGATGATGATAAGACACTTACCAGTGCATGGTCCTTTACTCATATAGCTAAGCCTTTATCTATCATTGAACCCATTTTGTTTTTTCTGTCTTTCTACGTCTCTTGTTCCATCTGTCTCTTGGTGTCGGTGGAGCATGCTGTTCAGTCTTCCTTGCTCTCTCATTCTCTCACATAAACGCGACTCTCTCGCTGTGTCTATGCTCTTCTTTGCTTTGTGACTGCTAAACTGAGTTATGAGTCCCTCTTTTTCTCCCCATGATTTAATGTCTGTGACAGACACTTTACGCAGTTCCAAGTTTTTTTCAGTATCATTTGTTACTATTAAGAATGGACAATGTGTGGAAATAAAATCTCCATTTTAAGCAACAAAGAAAGCAGAGGCAGAAACCATTGTTGCTGGAAAAAGTGATTTGCCTTAACTGATGCAGTGGGCATTGCTGCCCATCGTTAATACGGACAGTTTTCCAAAAGGACAACGATAAGACATTGCAGAGGAATAAACTTCTTCACGAGTCATCGCCACTAAACAGAACCTGCAAAATGTGTGCCTAAAAGAGAAATATAACAATGTCTGCAGGACTTTCGAGTAAACCTTTCTGCAGTCTGAAAACATCTCATAAAGAATTTTTCACACACTGGATGTAGATAGCACACGTAGTATTCCCATTTCTATGATAAATACAATGAACACTGCTCATAAGCATTTAGCTTCTAGCTTTTTAATGACTCTTTGTTACAGCATTTATAATCTGTTTTGGTCTCCACCTCCTTTACTGTTTGCTTTTTCCACCCTTGTTTTTCTCACTACACTCACTTCAGGGTAAGCTTTTCAGAAGAAGTTTGGTGTTTGTATCCCAGACAAAATGCTCCAGGGTGGAGAAGACAGAAATGTTTGTTGCTTCAATTCTAAGAAATAGAAAAGATTAAAAGAAACGACAACAAAAAAAAAGAAAGCCACAACAATGGGATATCCTCAAGCAGCCCCTTTATCTACTGATGGCTGCTTTCATAACTGCGTTGATTTTCTCCTGTGCTGTTTTGAATGGGGCAACATGCAAACAGGCACAACAACACACCCCACAATGCTGCTTATAACCCAACTGACAGCTTTCTCATGGCAAATGCATGAAATGGAGCCGTTCCCTGCCAGTCTCTCTTGGTGCTGCTGTTTTTCAGAACATTTCTTTTTCATGTGTTTGAGTTACAACCCATCTGTAATTCTTAATGTTGTTGTACTCACTTGTTCTGGTGCTTGGAGCCCTGGAGGTGTGCATGGTACTGCTCAATAGAGTTGAGCACCACACTGCAAACGCTGCATGAGTAACTGCTGCGCAGCCCTACAGAGCAAGAAACACAAATGAACATGAGGTCATTCACAGGTTATAGGGTGGTAGAGTTATTATCATTCTTAATGATCTGGACGGCAAGCAAGCCTCAGTGACGTCAGCAACAATACGAATGATCTGAAATCAGGGAAGTTATTTTTACACTCAGCTGTGCAGGATCATTTTCCTAATTAGAGTGCATCTGGAGAGAGATTTGATTTCTAATCGCAAGCGGAAAACCAGTTTCAGTTTTAGAAATTCATTTCATTGCCTTTGTCTTTCTAGTGTTCGTTATGTGTGTGCGTGAGTGTGTTTTGAAACTTGAACTTGAGCAGGGTTCAGCAGAAGAATCGGAACACTAAGAATGGGAAAAGAACAGTGCCGTTGGTTTGTGTGGAAGTGCACCGCTGAAATTGGCTGTGCGTGCATGCAAATTTATAATGTGGTGAATGCACGCTTTAGAATGGTGCGGCTCAGACACAGATGTTAACTAATTAGAGGGTTTGCAGGTGGTCGTGATGAACACCCTAAAATAGAGTGATGAATTTGGAGATACTGACAGACTGGAGCAGAAACAGATTTCAAGGTTGGGAGATGGGCATTAAGCGGAGGAAGAGAAAAGTGGAAATAAAAGGTTTTTAAAAGATATAAAGTACAAGGGTAATTTACTAAAAGTGAAGTAGCACATGTCTTTTGTTCAAAAGGACGTGGATTAAGATGCTTCATGTGTCCATAAAGAGGACTGTGTGGTCTTGGTCAAATATGTAATTATCTGCTATTCACATTTTCAAAAATATTTTTTGTACTCTTTCTGAACCTTGAGTAATTTTACTTAGATCAGATTAAAAAAAAAATTGAAGTATCATCCCCTTCTACCATGCCCCCCCCCCCCAATTTTGCTTATGCTGCAAGTGAAATTAGGAGTGCTCTTTTTTGTGTGGATACCCTTTTCTCTGCTGTCCTTGAGATATATGAGTGGTCCGTGCATCTCCTCACCTTTTGACCTTTTCTGGCGGTAATTGGTGAAGAACTAAATTTGGAGATGGGGTTCTTATACATTTGGGAGAGCTGGGAGGTCATTTAGAAGGGGCTTGAGTTGCATAATGTGGCATATTTGCTCCTTGTTGCCTTAAGATCTTCTCTGTCTGTTTCTGGGGTTATTAGGGACAAGCAGTCACTTCCAAAAAAGACATGAGTGAATTAGCAGCCTGGAGAAGTACAATCTTGGCTGTTGATATTTTGAATATATCAAGAGCTAATAGTCTTCAGCATGTGTTTGTGTGAATGACAGGAAGGGAAAAAGACATGCTGCCAAAATGGTAAATGAAAGAGATAATTGATGACAAGAGGATCATTTAGAGCAGAAATGAATGATAAGCCCTTATCTGTGTGCTTTTCTCTTCTTGTAATTCTACACAGCTGCCCGGATTACACAAAGAAGTCTTTTCTTGTACGTACAATTAACTCTGTTGTGTGTACATGTGCAAGGGCAAAGCCAGACTCCCTGGTTTTAGCCTGATTGCTATCACTTCCACATTGTCTAGCTGTTTTTTGGCTCTGGCAGAAGTTGTGGCATAAGACCACAATGCATGCTAATCCGTGTTAATTACATACATAAAATCTATGCATGCAGCACAAATAACAGCAGGCAGCTGACTCTTTCGAATGTCTATCTGTCATCAGTCTTAGCAGTGTTTGTGAGGACGTTTTAAGACTTGTTAATCATGTGAGACGGTAATCCAGGGAAAAGCAGGGGGTGAGATGAGCTGAGGCAGTGGGTGTGGAGCCGTTTGAGGCTGTCTTTTACTGTACAGAGCCTTCTGGCGTTGCTGGCACTCCTTGTTTGGAGACACTGTAATGCTTGTCAAAAAAGTAATGAGCTAAATTTCATCCTCACGGAATTGAGGAAAAATATGCTCATTTTGATGGCATTGTTGCAGACGGATTTAACATCCCCATGCAGTTCCAATATCTGACGTGTTTTAAATTCAAGTTTTTGACTCCCCCAGAATTAATGCCCTCCTTTGGGACATGATATTTGTGGCTTGCTCCATTTGGATTCTCTGCCAAACTCTCACTGAAACTCCATTTATGTGGGAGATTTCAGGTTAGGACTGACAATTCTAAAATCTGGTGGGCAGTCACTTTTTTAGCACTAAATAAGACTTTTTAAGACACAGAGTGAGAGAATGAGTCTCTCTAATTTTATATTTAATCTTATTTAGACACTTTCTTTTCATGTCGCTTGTGTAATATCAGTTTATTTGCAACCCGGTACAGTATGAGGGTAACATGTGCTCTGCAAATTAGAAAAGAAATCCATTGAGATGGGATCAAAACCAACAGTATGCAAAGGCTTGACAGTGAGTCTCAGGAATGTACCAGACATATCATGGGAGAGAGGGGTTGAACATTGGATGAGAGTGAGCCTGAATCCAAGTGGAATTTTACCAGGAAACTTCGAAGAAGTTATCCAGTCTAATTAATTTTGGAGCCAACTCCACAACAATTGGAGCGACCATCTGTTTCAAACAAAGAAATGGAAACCGTATTGGGACGAGTAGTGCCAGAGTTGAATTTGTTCACGTTGGGGTTTAAAAGCCCCCTTTAGATTTAATTTTTAGCTCAGTTTAATGCCAGTCAAGTTATACTTAGAAACAATTGAAAAGAGAATAAAATATTTTCTAGTTTTCTCCAAACCTAATTTCTTTTCATAAAGGTTATCATGAAGACAAAATGACTTTTTTTGTAACGTTTTTCTATTTTCATTTGGAGATTGTTTGTTTTTCTTGCATCTCCTGTTACTTGGCAAAACTACATTGGCAAAACAATATATTTTCAAAGGGGACACAATATGAAAAAATATCCCCTATTACTTCTTTTAAGGGGACTAAAGGTTCTGAAAATACAAAATAATAAGCCATGACAATAATAACCAGCAAAAAATAGTTTTCTGGAAATCAACCATAGGACCAATGTAAGTTTATACTAATCAGTGAAAAGAATACTTGGAAAAAGCTTAAATATTTCTCAAATACATTTCAAATCTGGTTTCATCATCCTAGCTTGCTGAATTCAAGCATGATATTGAGGGTGGGAACTCAGAAGTCAAAGCCATACAGAAGTAGATGAAGTTGTGAGGTGACGTGAATACACTGTAAATATGAACAAGTCACTGAATGAAACATTTCTGTACCATGGAGGCACACCATAACAGCTTTTGTCGGAGCCAGTCAGTTAGTAGTGACAACCTAATCAAAATATGTGCTCTGAAGAGCAGAAAAATATGTAAGACTATGTCACATTTCAACAAAATTGGTCACTTGGTCATTCGTGCTTCATGAGAGAATAATTCAGTTGGCAAGAGGAAAAATAAGAAATTGCATCAGTTAAGAGTCATGTTTCCCATATTTTGGCAGCTAAATGTCCCAGTATATTCATCACGGAACTGTGTGACATTTTCGGTCTAATGTGCTTCTGCGCAAGTTGTTGGTGTCTTGCATTTATTTTATAGTATAAGCAGCTGCCTGATGCAGCGAGAAGCAGTAATGACGAGACCAAAGCAACTATAACAACAGGGAGAAAATGGTGAAATGTTTCACTGGCATTCCTCTCGTGTTTTTCTTAGAGGAGTTAATGTATTTTCTTTTGGACATTTTCAGGAATAGATAAGGACATTCATAATCAAAGAGCACATAAACACGTTCTTTTCAATACTGGATTGAATGGATGATGTACTTTAAGATTTGCAGAGCAAAGGGTTGAGTTCAGACAGCGGGCCTCTGCATACTATGATGCCCACTGTTGATGATGTGAATGCACTACATGTAAGTTTAATCAGTGGCTGCGTTACAGTGAGTGCTTTCTCATGGGATAGGGGGTCATCTCTGTCCCACAACTCAGGCACACTCATCCATTTCAGTCAATTTTCTCTCTGCTTTAGTACCTCACTGTCTCTGGAGGACTCACACACAAGTAGAAACACACACACTCCCATCCTAGACGCTTATCTCACTGCTTCTAATTCTCTACTGAGTCTCCGGGGAGCAGAGACAAAGCGTCGGGCCTGTCTTGAGAGGTTTCTACCCCTGTTGTGATTTATGTAAAGGCAAAGCCGAGTCAGCTGAACTCATCCCTCGCCAGTAGCCACCTCCACTGTCACTCTGTCGACTTTCTGCTTAATCCATGTCCGAGGGGTATTATCTGGCACCTAGCCATAGAAAATCACAACATTCTCCCTTGTGCTTTGTGTGTGAAATTGCACCAGAAAAATCCGAGGGTGAGAAATGATGGCCATATAAATGTCTGGGGAATTTCAGGGTGTGCGTCGGTTGAGTAAGGAGGTAAAAGACGAAATAATGCAAGTGCAAGTAAAAGCCGATGCCATCGGTGGAACACAAGGACAAAATCCAGCAGGAAGATAGACTGTATTGCCACAGTTTGCAAAGAAGACAACTAATAAGTGTAAATGAATCACGCGTGCCTTGTGGTGAGACTAATGTGAATGACAGATGAGACGTGACCATGGCGATTGGAACCTGTCACAGTGCACATACACAGTCACACACAAACAAACACAGCGACAAGCAACAAAATAGCAAGACAGAGCGGCATAGCAGCAAGGGGCCATGAGTGTAAAAAGAAGACGGTTCCACAAAGGGAAAAGAAGGACAAAAGGACAGAGATCGATCTGCGCATGGCAGAGAAGGAGTTCTGCATTTATCCCTCCACCCTCCCTCTGAGATTACACTCAACACACCTGCGAGTTCGCACCTGAAAAGGTGATAAAAGTCAATCAAATGTGAGAATCTATCACCATTTCAGATTTGAACTGAACTGAAAAACAGACAAGTGCTGTCAGTGGAGCTGGACCGTGATGAACGGTGGCCCCGGCTAAAGGTGTCATCATCGGTTCATTGTCCCCGAAAGATGTGGTGGATTTTTGGAATGGGACCTCGCTCTCCGTCAAATGCGGGAAGTTTATAGAAGGAATCCATTTTACAGAAGTTTAAACGATATTCAAATTTGCATACATTAAAGAAGTTTCTGTCAAAATCATCCCAAAATAAAATGGAAAAAAGAAGGAAGAGCCAAGGTTCCGGGATCTGGGTCACAGTGTGTGGATGGAGGACGATATCTAACATGACACCACTTAAAGCCTCTGAGCCACTGTAGGCGGCAACATGACTCATGCTTTTAATATGATTGGCTTCTTGAGATGATGGTTTGTGTCACGGTACCTGGAGCACACAGTGAGCGGCACGGCTTTGGCTCTCAGAGCCTGTGTTATGTGTGCTACGAGTGCGTCCAACTTGTATATGCGTGCTACAGCCGGATGATGTGAGATGAAATCACTCGTATTGCAGGATCCAGAAAAAGCAAAAAGCAGTGCCTGTGCCGAATACTATTCATTATTTCATTAGCAGACGCCTCTGGCAGAAGTGTATATGCGAGTATGTGAAACCGTGTCATCTAAGTGCTACATTTGTGCAATGTTAGCTTTGTGAAGTGTTTGTGTGGGAAACTGAGATAAATAAAGGAAGCGAGATAGACACAGGAATAAAACCTCAGGACTTGCCTTGATAACTGTATTTGATCTATGTTTTACCAATCAACAGAAATAGAATAATTTCCTCGTATTTGACCATTTGAAGTGTCTAGTTGTGTGGGACTCATGCTTTAATTCTCAGCACACATATTCATGCTGTGTTGTATTTCTGCTGGATTTTTCTCCATGGTGCAGTGAATTAAGAGTTGAGCACAATTAGTTATGCCAGCAGAAGTCCCATAACTTTTTTTTTTTTTTTACACATAGCGACGCTCACACTAACAAGTGTGAAAGCAGTGCTGTAATATGAGCAGGCTGTGACCTCTGACAACCGACATGGAAAGTTAAGACTGTGGCAAACAGAATTAATAACGCGTCAAAGTTTGGCTGAGATTCACGGCTCATTACGAGAGGACAAAGTATCTGCTTGGGTTTATACATGATCAGTTCAGATTACTTTTGCTCTAACCATTGTTTAAAGAGAGTTTCAGTGATTAAAGTTTCTACTTCCACACATCTTAAACTGTTAGGTGAAGTTTAGTCTTGAAGTTTGGGTTGTGCATCCAACAATACCAACGGTTTTGTTGACATCTCAGATGCAACTTTTTCTTGTGCTGTAGATGTTTCACTCCTTGGTCTACCACCTCTCATGTAACAGGCTTTCTTAACACGCATCTGACAACATATCACTGTGATGCAGTGATAATTTTAGTCTAGCTCCCTCTTAGTCAACTTATTAGATTTAGCATTGGAAACTAAAAGTGTCTTGGCTTCACTTAAAATGATTAATATATAACATAATTATGAGCTATTTGAGTGACATGGGATCGTATGACTTAGTGGAACAATAAATTCATATTTCGTTGTATTTTTACCTCTATGTAATGAGACAACTGAGATAAACATTGCAAAAGGGTAATGCACCATACAACCTGCGGTGAATCAGAGAATGGATGCCCCTCACTAGCATGGAGCACAGTAGAATATTGGACAAACTTTGCCTGTTGAGACCTTGAATGTGCATAAGCCAATGGTATCTTTGTATCACATCAATAAGTAATAGCAGAGAGTAGCTGCACTGCTGGGCCAAAAAGGATGTGACTGTCAGATAAGTTCACAGGGTTGGATGGTTTCCCCTTTTTTGAATTAGATAAAAAGAAATTCAAACTCATTGGCGCTGCAATGAGTTTGATGTGTACATTCAAACTCATTCACACAAATATCAATTCACAAAAACTTAGAGGACAAGGTAGACTGCTTTATGGATGTTCAATGTATTTTGAAATTGTCAACCAACATAATGTTTTGACATAAAAATACCGTATTTTCTCTGTAGAAAATGGTAGGAGATTGGTTTTGAGCTTGAATGTCTCAGTAGCAAGTTGATAAATGTACTACCATTGAACTGCAATGATTTATATGATTTCTCAACTGTAATAATGCAATGGAAAATCCCCATCACACATAAAATTCCCTTGAAACCAAAACATCTGGGAAAAAAAGGACTTTAATTGTTTAGTTTAACACAAAATTAGACCAGTGGTTTTAATTTGCCTGTGTGAAAAGATTACTTTAATTTTTCACACTAACTGCAATGTATGATATTTTTATACACTTCTTCTTGTGTTTATAGAGTATACCTGTGGGGAAATACAGAAAAAAAAACAATGGCTATGGTACAAGTGATTCTTGCGTATCAAAACAATTATTTGCTTCTGCGGTTATTTGAGAACCAAGAACATTTTGTTGTCTGCATGGGTTTTATTTTGTCTGCGTGCATCGCATAGCAACATAGTTAAATAATATAAAAAAAGTGGGTTGCTATGTGACTTGTGAAGTATCTCTCTCACATTAGGCTATCATTTATTTATGTATTCTATCTCCACCAACAACCACGGTTGTTTTAGAGACTCCCACTGGGCTCTGACTGCAACACAAACCCTGATGATGATCCTCATGCAGAACAATAAACCTTTACAATTCTACTTATCAATTTAAAGGTTATTGTAGAGTGGTAATGAAACCATCTTTGGGACATTAATTCCTTACATAATACTTAAATAGATTAGAGGAGGGGGTCAGTCTCACTGGGAAACTATAAACTGATGAGATGAAAGAAAATCCCGCTCAGTGGTACCTCAGATTAGGTAGTTATGTACATAGAACTCCTTTTTTTCTCCCAATGGTTGTGAAGATGATATTTTTACCATAGTTATGGCTGGTAATGCTATAAATATCTTTGACTAACTGGTGTGACTTACATTAGTATGAGATCTGTGAAACATGAACCATATGCAAAGACTTACAGAATGAGCATTTAGCCACCCACACTCCAGAGATCTTGCATTTGATCACCCACTTATCATCTTTCCTCCTACAAAGTCATAACACCCTGGCTGCTGTTCATTTGTTGATATGTTGGGCTCAGGCTGAAGAGACTGACCTGTGCTCTCTGTGGCATCCAGACTTCCTGCTAGCTCCTCCAGGAGACGTGCCCTGGCTGCATTCCTGCGGTGTTTCTTCCCCTCGTAGTGCTGCTGGGCCATCAGCGGGTTGTTGAACCAGGCCCCGCACAAACAGCAGTACTTCCCGGCCTCTCTCCCGCCATTTCCACTGACCACCTCAGTGGGCCACGGAAGAGCAGGCGGCGGAGGGGGGCATGCAGCAGGGTCTGTGGGCAGCGGGGTGGAAGGTGAGGAATCTGGGGAGGAAAGGAGGAAGAAGAAGGAGTTGGAGATGAGGAATTAAGTGTGTGGGATTGCGGAAGGAGACGGCAAAGTCACGAGAAAGGTGAGGAGAGTAATCGCGGATATTAACACGAATTCACATGCTAATGGAGGTGTAGTTCAAAAATGACATGAAATTAAAAACTGGAATGCAATTACTTTGACAGATCTATGTAAAAAATCCATATTCAGAACAAATCTCATTCACATTCTCACAGAGGAAAGCTCAAATACATGCGTGCACACTGATTCTGTACATTCACACATTCACATCTACAGATCTGGTTTTCCATTCTACTCATTAAGATGGAAAGCAAATAGATCACTCCAGGTGCACTCCAGGGCTCTCTCTGCAAGAACAGGCTTTCTGCTCACATTTACTATCACTGCTGAGTTTTTTTTCAATCTCCCTCTTGTCCTGCTCTTTCTCCTCTCAGGGAATGTAAAAAGGGAAATGGAAGACTTCCAGGTGACCCGCTACTCATGACATGACACTGGTTACCATGGCGATTGCCCATTAATAGCTTTCGGGCAATGACATGACTACAGGACGTTAGTTGTGGCTCTCGCAGTGAAGACCGTGAATGTGCAGGTGGCTGAGTGTGTCTTTGTGTGTGGACTAAATGCACGATCTGTGTGTTAGGAAAGTGTGTGTATGTGCGTGCATCAATAAAGTCCCAGAACAGACTGCTTGAGCTTGCAAGGTACAGCACATGTACTAAAAAAACCCAAAAAAACAAATCATCTTGGGAGGGGTTTAGGTCCACAGCCAGATTGTGTGAGAAAAGCTTATGATGCCAGATGGCATGTCCAAATGTGCCGATTCACCATCCACTATGTGTCAGTGACTAGAGTCATACCAACTGTGAGTCTACACAGCCGCAGTGCTTCACGTTTAAACATTTCATATCACAAACAAAAGCCCACTCAAATGTGCTTTCAAGCCCTAATGAGTCAAATCACTCATTTTGCAACCATCAGCTCACTGATAACAAATGTAGAGCACGCAGGAATGGTTGACCAGTGACTATGAGTGGGGTGAGTCTTTTTGTGGCCCTGTGCTGACCTAACTCTCACCCTGCAAGCCGATTGGCTGCTCGTACCTTGATGTGTCTTCAAGCTCTGTTCACATAGTTACTGTATCTATGGCTGTGACTCTGCTCATCACACCAACCACACCCACTCACATTCCCTTTGCTTTTCATCGTCATGCCACTCCAACATCTCTTTTAGGGGAAGTATAGTAGTATAGTTACTTTTTACTTTTTTATTTTGCTATTAACCTCAGAGATGAAACGGTCATCAAGTCTCTGGCTGGCATTTGTCTGTGCATGTGCATAAGTGAAGCTCCGGCGCTCTGACAGCTCTGTGGAGCCGTGAGTCCTGAGCAGCAACAGGGAGAGATTCTTTAATGGATTTCTTCTCTCCGTCCCGTGTTTTCCCACCATTTCTTGTCTCCTGTCTGTGATCTCTGTACACTGGAGCAGAAGTAAGTACTTCTCATGGAGTGGGAGACAAGGATTGTGTATGTGTGTAAGTGTGTGTGAGTGCAGACGAGGATGTGATGGTGTTTTAAAGTTTATTTTAAAGCAGGATGTAAGCGGGGGGAAAAACTTAAGTACAGAATTGGCTTTACACCTTTCAAGGTTTTCTACAATACTCAGGGCCCTTGGTTTCCCTTTCTTTATGTGTCCATGTGTCCTGATGTGCAATTGAATACATCAGTCACTGGGCCTATGTGTGTTTCTATGCCCATGTGTGCCCAAGCCTGTCAGCTCGGCTGCGGATCTTCTGTGGAACGCTCGTCTCTGCGTTTTCACAAAGGGTAGTTTTGACTTTAATCTATCCTGAAATCCCCCTCTCTCTCTCCCAGGTCACTCTTCCTCTCTGTTGGCTTCCTCTCTCTTTTTTTTCTCCAGGTCCCTCTGTCATACAACCAGGGGAACTGCACAGCAGTGGGAGAACAGAAATGACAGTTTTCCAAAGTAGGACAAAGTTTAACAAAATTCACTCGGGGGTTTGAGCGTAACATGGCATTTTGTAGCCATTTTGTGTTTATAGTAATTACCCCATTTAATAACAAAATGGAAATGTCCATGACTGAAAATCAAAAAATAGTTTGCTTAAATGTATTTTCCATCTAATAATATTTGGTCTTATACAAAAATTCATACACCTCGAACTAAAAAATACATACGTCAGATTTCCGTCTTTATAATATGTGGACGGAAGTGAAGTCAAGAATGGTAAGTTTGAAATGAAATAACTTGGAACTCCTGTGAAGTTTTTTCCCCAAAATCCTTACTGGCATTTTTATCATTACCTCAACTTCTTCAGCTGCTTCATACTGTGATGTCAGTATAACATTGCTGTAATATGCATTGCCAATGAGAGGTTTTCAAGATTTCCAAATAAAGGTAATATTTCAGTTAGAGGAAAACAAAGAAAATGTTAGATTGTTTTCATGTTAGTACAAGCTGCTCTCCACATTATCTAATTTAAATAGACACAATGAAGACACAAGCCTTTTTCCCTATATAACATCTGATATTATTCGTTGGGAGTGACAAACAGCTACATGAATGACAATGGGAGGCAAAATGCTCCAAATTCAAATAAAGACCTTCTATTTAAGCTAAATTCCCAAATGTGTCTGAATAAAAACATATACAGAGTATCACCTCAATATTACCATTCCTACAGCTAAACGTGGTAACGACATCATTATTCTGAAGGGAAGTGTTTCTGTCGCAAGGAGTGGTAGGATACCCAGGAGAGAGAGAACGACAGTCCAAAAGCTCACAACCTTTCTGAGGGGAAGTTTTACATTATAATAAAGACTTAATGCATGTGGCCAAGTGGCTTCAAAAGACCTTTGTCAAAATCTTCTTGTCTGAACTTAAACCTCTGAAGAATCCCTCTGGAGAGCCCTGAAAGTGTTGTTTGGCGCAGTGGAACTCGAGTGGTTCTGCCAAAAATAATTGGAGAATTTCTGTAAGGAAAGGTGGACCAAGCCTGTGGGACTGTCCAAATAAAACTCTGGGCTGCTGAACGTTCATACATCGAGGCCAAGTGAAGGTTAATAAATAAATAATAAATGCAGTGCATTGTGTCTTAAGATGAGTTAAACAACTTGAGAAAACATTGACTAAACTGGAAACTTGTTTGGCATAGAGGATGGGAATATTCGTGTGACTTTCATGTTGTTGCTTATGTAAAATGCAACGACAGGCGGAAATCTGAGATACCTGTGTTTGTAGGACTGGAGATGGCTGTTGGTACGCTGGGCGGCTCCCCCAGCACCAGGCGGACTCTCTTGGCGTGGGTTTTGCCCTGGTAGTGTGACTGGGCCACAATTGCAGATGTGAAGAACATATTACACAAGGTACAGCACTTATTCCTGTCCACTTCTGTTTCTGCACAGTCCTAAAGGGCAGAGACGCAGAGAGAGGACATAGGAGGAGAGGGTAAGGGTGGTGAGCAGGAAATGAGAACGGTGGAGGTGAAAAGAGGTGAAAGTGTGAAAGAGAGCAGAGACAGAGAGAATGGCAAATAACTAAATGCACACTTTGCAGGGAACTTTGTGGGCTTTTCTCTCTTACAGAAAGAAACCGCACACACAAAAGGCAAAGAGAGGGATAATCAAATATTCATTTCTCTGGGCTGAGATTGTGGCTTGGCCCTTTCACCGCTGCTGGTTCATGACTAATGATGAGGATGGGTTGAGGGAACACAAAGAAGAGACAAACCACCTGATTGACACTAACTTGCATTCATAGTCATGTTTCTCTGTCTTTATTGTATATGTCAGACTTCCATTCATAGCTCAAAGTTTTAAAAAAAAATTAATCCTATCCTAAGCATTTCTTCCCTAATCCCATCCCTAACTTCAATTCAACATGCCACTCTACTGAGTCAGTATTCTGATTTACATTGACGTTGTTCCTGTCCACAAAAGAGAGATGAGTCCCTACACTGCCATTGTGTAAAGTGATTCATGTGCCCACAGCATGCATACAGTCACAAACACTCAAGCTGCACTCCATCATCTTTTCAGTCTTTTCTCATTGTTTCTCTATCAGAACAAATAAAGGCAAAACTGCACCGTGGGCTGCATGGCAGGAAACAAGCTAGGCATTTTTAAAGAAATTATCCAAATAAAAAGCAGTGATTGATGGAAGTTTGACACTTGCCTGAAAACCTTGCCACTTATGGTGACGAAATGTGAACTGAATAAAAAGCTGAGAAAAAAGCAAAGGCAGCATGTCATGTGTGTGAACTGAAGTGAACTCCTGGATGATAAAACAAAGAATAGAGTATTGCACTATAAAATATTTCAGAGCATAGAAACAGACATTCTTAGTACGTGTTTTCTGAGCTCATTCTAAGTGACAGGGGATCTAATTGTACTGTGGGATACAGTCACCTTGTAGACTGTTGTTTGTGGTCAGATAGTGTGAAAACAATCTTTTCTTGTTTCAGTGTAACAAACTGGACTAAACGATGTGTCAGAGGTCCCTTCAGAGGTGAGATGAGATAGTCCTCTAGTGCTGAAGATCCAATGGCAAAACGTTTAAACACTAAGCTGCCAGTTTTCTGTTAAAACCATATACTACATTTCTGTAACATCTTTTGAATTGAGTTTTTTCTTTTGTGCGTATAGTAAACTACTGAATAAGAGACTTTTTTTTTTAAACAATAGAGGATAAGGTCTTTCCATTGTACTATATCAGTCAGCTGCACTGAAAGACCTGAATGTGTCCAATAAGGTTAGAAAAGTGTTGAAATACTGAATGTTAAACAATATCTTAAAATCAGTTAAACCACAATTTTGATTGCTCTTTTCTGTTATAATGTATTTAGATTAATCTGTTTTCTATATCTTTGTTTCACCATTCCTCGTGCAGTCTGAATCTAGGTCTCATCACCAGAGAGAACCTATTTGTAAACTCGACATGAGCTATTTTTTTTCTTCTAAATTCCATATCTACATGGGTGTGTGCATGCTGTGTGCATTGTATGAAGTGTGTGTGTTTGTTACATCAACCCTGGTTAACATCATGGACAATGGACTTGAAATTTAAGGACACCTTTACCTTCGAGGCTTGGCTCTGTCTCTCAGCTCTCCCCTCTACTTCTCCTCTCATGGTTTTTGTCTTTCCGCCTTCCCTTGACTCTTTTTTTCCTTTCCACTTTCCTCCCTGCGTCGTCCCTCCCCCTCTGGGCACCAGTCTCAGTGACTGTGTGTTGTGGGATGAAATATTTATCTGTATTGGCAGGCCCTCGCCACCCCCTCCCCTCCTTGACTTCTCCCGCCTCGCCTTCTACCCTCCCCTGTGTCTGGCCCCGCTGTGATCATGTTAAAGGCTTGCTAGGATCTGTCCCACACCTCCCCCTTTATCACAATTAGAAAGTGAGTTTCTTTCTCACTTGATATGAATATCTTATTAGCCCATGAAGCAGTGCCTGATGCAGCCAAACTTTATTTCTGACTAGCACAGGAGACGTGCTGAGGTGCATATGAGGTCATAAGTAATTCTTCTCTGTTTTCTTTTCTCATTTCTTTCCTGTCTTACCATTTTAAAGACAAGAATTTAGTCTGTCTTTTCTCTTGTTCACTTATCCATCATCCACCTCATCTTATCTCCTTGGCTGGCTTAGCTGTCCTACTGTTGTTTTCCTCCTTCTTGTTTGCTGCATACCTGCATGGGGAAGATCTTCTTATTATTGTTCTAGTAAAATTTTGGCAGAAGAAAGATGTCCCAACGCAGTACGAGGGGCTGAGCATTATCATTGTAAGATTGTTTTTTAATACAAAGAGAAAGAGATGATCTCTTTGACAGCCTGCTGCTGTCTCACCTCCAAAAAACCCGCTGAAGACTAAAAGAAGCCCTCGACAGGAAAGGGGCTTTAACAGAGAGAAACGTCTTCATGAAACCATGTCAGATGCTGCACTACAGATTCCGTGACAGCGTGAGAAAAGTTTTAAACAATCTCCATTGTGTGTGACTGAGTGACATATGACTAAATGACGGCTTATTAAAGCTGCCGTCCGGCTGAAACGCTTTAAACGATGAACACCCTCCCTGACTCACTGCTCTCACCCATCGACTATGACCACGAAAGTCATCCACTGTTCACATTAATCATTGTTGTATCTTAAATTTCTGCATTCTCTCTCGCTCTATTTTCTGAAAGTCTCTTCCTGCCACACCTTACACATCTGTTGAGGCTCATCTGCATCTGCATGCAACTTAGGTCCTGTGTGCTTTTGTTTTTGCGGGCTGCCTGACAGTAACGTTGTATATTTGCTGAATATTTAGTGGTTTGGTGACTCCATCTTGCTCATGCACCTAACAATAGACTCCTAATTAGCTGTGTTTATCTTCCTCTCCTTCTGTTTAGCTTTTTCCGTGCTCCTCCTTGCTTCTCTCACTGTTCTGCTTTGAGGTGCTGTGGGAAACATTGCTAAATATACACACGGAGCAGCACAGGCAAACAGACGCTCTCATTTGGAGAGCGTCATTTAGAAGGAGATCTGAAAGTGCAAACCGAAAGGAACGCTAATGCACACATGCTATAAGAGGTTGAGAAAAATATTCTTATCTCTTGCCCTTTGCGCAGGCAGGAAACAGACAGAGAAGAGGGAAAAGCTGATCAAGTCTCCTCTTTCACAGGGGAGCACCTCTATGACCTACTTTTTTATGTTTGTTGTGTGACAAACACCTTCACCTACACACAAATACAAAAACCTCAAGGCATGGCATTTTACTCTGGCATTTCATTCACTCTGTGAAAAAAACCTTTTCTGCAGCTCCCACTGGACTGCACCATGTCAATCAGTATGAAAACAGAGGAGGCAAAAACACTAACATGAAGTGCACCAGAAAAGATGTGCGCAGCTTCCTGTGGGAGGGAAAAAAGATGAAAGAGGGAAAGTTCATTCCAAATCAGTGTTGGTGTGGATTTAATTTCTGCTCATCTGACGTTAGTTTTACTGTGCGTTCTGATAATCGATATAATCTCTCTGCGTGAACGGCGGTGAACAAAAAGCTCGCTGTGGCACTCAAGCTGTGTTACAATATGGCAGATGAGGGGAGAGCGTTTGTCTGAGCGCGTGCACACGGCCTATTTATGTGCATTCAAGGTCCCAAATGACACCAAAGCCTGGATTGGCTTTATATCTTTCACACCTAAGCTAATGGATGGATACACAGGTGTGTATTATTCTAGGATTTTTGTGAGTGTGTCAGTATACTCATACGCCCACATTATATTATTAATGTAAACTACGGTGCTAATTTTAGGAACTTCTATGCATTTGAGGAAACCACAAAATGTCCTGTCCTGTGTTTCCCGTAGTCTTGCTGCAACGCTTTTCTCCAAATTGTCCATTTTATTTTTTGCTTATTTTTGTGGTTGCTGTCCAAAATTGTCCAACTGGATTTTACGGAAATGTTGCATTTAATTCTGCTCGAGGAATTCTACTCTTTTTGCAAGTTTGCCTTGCCTTGCTGCTTCTCGGCTGATTGAGTAGCGTCGGAAACCTCGTTCCCTTGGCAGATTTCAGTGGCAGTCTGACAGTGACCTTCACGCCCACTTCACACAGTGATTCTCCAGGTATGTGAAGGTGAGAAAGGAGGCAAGAGTTGCCACTTCTCATCTGGAGAAAAAAATTGACGGAATAAAAATCATTCCTGAGAGTCTGTCTAAAATATATATATATATATATATGTAACTGTCATTGCACTTAAACTTTTTAAGGGTTTAGCCTACAAGCAGTATTACTTTCTGTCACCGTACCATTTTCTGTTTGCATGATGAATTCTTTAAAAGATGATGGAATGCAACTGATACATATATAAATGATAAATGTGCTCAGGGAGTATGCATGTTCTCCCTATGTCTGTGTGGGTCTGCATGTGAGGTTTCCCCCTGTGACCCCTTTGGGAATAGAATATGGATGCATAGATGGATGGAAATGTGCAAATCAATATTATACATATGCTGATAATACGATGAAAAGATATCTACATTTGTACTGAATTTAATTTTGAAAACTGAAGAAAATCAATTCCTTTAGCTGAACTACTCTGAAGGCAACCAGTCATCGTATGAAATTCAACATGACAAAATGTTCAGCTTTTCGTGGATTTTACGTGAAGGTCACTTCTAAAATCTGCAACTTCGAATTACATGTTCATGAAGAACAGAGGTCCAAATTCCCCTCAAGGTGACCAGCTTGGCATCGTGGTCTAAGCCACTGGCTATGACACTGTGCTGTTTTTGGAAACAGTCCACAGCGTTTCCCTCTCAGTTAGTTTGATAAGCCCTGTTTTTTCACCAGCTGTGTCCCCAAAGAGTGCGCTTCATGTGTTCTCCGTGTGTATTTGCATTTTAAGCCAAGTGGGACGAGCCAGATAAGTGCAGCTCACAATGTACAATCGTAAATCTCCCTCGACAGAGCACAAAAGACTATTACGCTTTCACATACAAATATGGACACATACCAGCAGCGGAATACCTGTTTTGCCTCGTTTAAAGTCCAACAATTGACTGGAGATGCAACTGCAATCTCAGCATTTGCTGCCGCTGCAGAGCCAAGAGATGGCCCCGAACACAATAGCATTTCTACGGCACATGCACACAGACAAACACACGAGCACTTGTAAAGCAGTGACCTCCTTAGCTATGGCCTGCAATATTCAGATACAGAGCTACTTGGCGGCATCTGCTTTCACTAAATCTATCCAGATACACAGCTAAGGCATAACCTCTCTTGAGAGAGTTTTAGCACACAGCCACAGACCAAACAAGCATTCCCTTGTGCCCCTTCCTACTTTGGTTAAGGCTGGAGTAAAAATTGTATAAGGCTAAAGCTTAAATAGGTCTTCTAGGTAAACTATAAAACGGATACACAATACATCCTTATGTCTTTAAGATCACAAATGAAGTCTTTAGTTATGCCAAAAAGACACTGATATGTTTTATCATCATATGGACATGCAGACAGGCATACCGGGTTATCTGGCCTTAGTCTTTTAGACGGTGGTCCTCCATCTTCAGGGTGAAGCATATAGAACAGCCGTACCTTGTTGGCATGTTTCTTGCTCTAAGGGAGAGACAGAATAACACAGGAAGGAAAGTCAGCCAGCTGGCTAAGTGAGTTTTGTTTTACCGAGTGAGCCAAGTGGAACAAAAATCAATGACTGCCGTTCCACCTTGGCAAATCCCTCCATGCTTTTATCTCTCTTTAAGCTGATGATGTTAGCAGACATTTTGCCCCCAGTAAGGTGAGTAATGGTTCTGGCTGGCCTCAGCCTTCTGGAAGCCTTATTAAGATGGTGTGTAGGGGGAGTGTTATTGGTAGGGAGTCAGAACTATTTGCATCATGTAAAAACAATTAAACTTCAAAGTGCTAAGTCAGCAACACATTTAAGAGGCACAAATTATATTGAGACTGAAACAGTGACAGCTTGACTCTTTAAAGACACATACAGAAAAAATGTTATGTTTTTGTTTATTCGCCTATTTGGCCTCGCCCTCCTCCTGAGTGTGCTTTGTCTGTGTGACATAGTTTTAGACTACAAAGACCATGAGTTATAATCAGCAGGAATCACAAAAGTGTTTACATTAGGGGACTGTGTGCTCTCCATGAAGCCTGCAAAGTGTCGGTTTAAAGATAACAACAGAAAGAACTTGACACAGTGAAGGGGAGAGATGAGTGAATGCGTATGTGTTTAGGCCGCTCTGTGCATCGGAGCACACGAGGCTGACGTGCTGCTGTGTTCCAAACTTCTTATCTAAAATCTATTCTCATCTATAAATTCAATTCAAGCGCGAAGACATCAAGCTTCATCGTACATTTGATACTTCAAATGTGAGTAAAAAAAAAAAACTGCATGGCAAAGTGTGCAAGCATACAAGAGAAGATTGTTACAATGACAGTTATATAGACAACTTTTATTGTTTAAATTAAAATAAAATCGGTAATTGTAAATTATTATCATAGCTGGACAAAAAGTACACAAGTAAGCCGATGGAAAACCCTGACAAGACATTGCACTTGCTGCTCCAGTGCTCATATTGGATCTTTGCCCCAGGAGAAGTATTTCTCGCCAACCTCACATGCCTCCTCACTTGTCAGACTACTGTTAATGCATCTTGTCAGAGGGTATGTGTGCGTTTTGTGTGTGTCTGAGTGTATGCTTGTGTTTATAGGTGTATAAATGGTCGTGTATTTGATGGCCCTAGGATATAGGCTAAAAGCAGGACCTTGTGTCGCCATGACTACCCTGCAACAACTCTCAGCTCTCACCCCCCTCTAATGGACTGTGTGTGTCCTCTCTGTCTCTCCTTTCACTGAGTGTCGAGTAAAGTTGGAGGAGACGGGCAGGCAGAGTAAAACTTTTGAAGATATCTGGCTCCTCTTCTGGGTGTGTTGTGTACACCTACAAAACAAGCGACCCCCGTTATTTTCCTGCCTAATATAAAATGAATTCATTTACTGTGTGCACTAAAATATCACAGTTGAATTGTTGAATATATTTGTTCTAACTGAAGACCTTTTTAATGAAGTCCACTCAACACAGAGGATTGGGATTTTAATGAAGGACAACAAAGCTTCCGCCTGAATTCGATTGTGCTGGTGTGGTTGGGGGTGTTGTATATTTTTTCTACATATATTTACATTATTACAAAAGAAGCCACATACCAAAGTGTATTATTATTGTGAGAAAGTCACCTCAATGTAACTGGATATATAAAACTTAAATACGTATGAACAGGTTTCCTGATATTCATGGAAAAAAATTACATTTATGCACCGATCAGTGAAGAAGTGCACAAAGTATTTTGAGACTCATTTCACACTTGCGGGAGTCTCGCAGGCTGGTGCAAACATGGTGAGTTTAAGTGCTGGTGGAACGCCGGGTCACCTCCATTACCTTTGGAGACCTGTGTTATTTCCCTCTTTACTTTACTCTGTATTTACTCATTTTTCTGCGGAAAAAAAGAGTATCTGCCTGAGTTGCAACCGCTTTGCAGAGACAGCTGCCTCGAGGGTGCCAGAAGGTGCCAGACCAGTTGTAGAAGCCTATAAGATGCTGCCATGACCTTGCAGCTGTTTTCGCAGTTTGAACTGCTGCCGCTGTTTTAGTGGAAGCCAATGCTGATTATCTGCAGATGTATCTGTTTGTAGAGACAAAATGTTTTCCACTCTTTACAAATCAATTTTTACATGGACATGTACCCATAACAACAGGTTTACACAGTTCACAAATCATGTATTACATATGCACAGATATATATTGAGTCAATTTTCTCCCCATACTTGGGTTGTTTCTCCCTTCTCACTCTCTTACACTCACATCCTAGTGAGCTGAAGTTATCCTCTTTCATCCTGTGACTCACTGAGCAGATTGAGTAGTCAACCACAACATTTTCCTGGCCAAAGTATCTGCTGCTCAATGTGGAGCACGACCATGTCATGGTCATAACTACAAGAAGTCTCCCTCCTCTGGAACCGTGGCATAGAAGAGCAGCTTATGAAACAGAAAGATCTTTTAGAGAAAGTTGTTTTTGTTTCAATTTTATTTTTGGTAGACGTGCAATGGCTCTGTTTGGGGTCAGTGTTAACTAATGAGCACATGGGTGTACAGGACAGTGTATTGATGTCCGCTCTCATCAGGATAAAGGCACATGGAACCTCTGCTTGAGAGATAGGGGCGGAAGCTGAACCCATATACTTCACTCAACTCTGCAAGAGGACATTTTGCTGATTGAACTATAAAATAAAAAAATATGAGAGGTTGGCTAAACATATTTTAGCAACTGTTGACCTTGTGTGGGCAACCTGGTGAAGATAAGGTTACGTTTCTATATAACTGTCAGGAGAATTTGTAGTGAGCCTTGTATACCACTGAGGGCTACTTTATGTCTGTACTAAAAGTTATAATATATATATTTGCCAATTCAAAGACTAAATAGAAATAAAAACAATTCAACAGTTACAAGGAGAGGAAACATAATAGTCATCAAAAGCAATAGTCATTAAGGACTATCAGTGATGGCACTTCATGTAACATAAGTCAATTTAAAATGGGTATTTCAAATAATAAGGAAATCCATAGCCACATATAATTGATTCTAATAAATTACCAAAAATGATACAACAATCATATTGCAGTTAAGAAAGTGGCTTAATCAGGTGTTTCAATATGGTGAAACTCATACCAGCGGAAATAACACAAACACACCAGTGTATAGTAGATAAGATGCTCATGCTGTAGGGCAGCTGTTGCACGCTAAAGTAGCCACATACACAAAAGACAGTTAACTCCCAGCTGAAGGGGCAAGTCCACCGGGAGAACTCTGACAAATTCTGATTTACAGGGAATGATGTAAGAAGTCAAAGTTCCAGATAAACCTTGAAGGCTCTTTAATATAAGGAATGTCTCCATTCCCGGCCTTGGCAAGTGCTGGTCTTCCAGTCTTGTCCTCAATAGACTGTCTGTATTGTTAAACTGGCAGTTCCCTGGGAGAATGCAGCAGAAGTGGATAGAAGATTGGTAGTCCGGTCTTCCAGCAAAGGCAGAGGACTGAGCTTGCTAATTGGTATAGTTGTGGAAGACACAATCTGGTCCGATCAGCTGGTGATTGACCTGTCTAAGGCTCTATGTACGGAAGTGAGACACACAGCTGAAGATGTGTCCAAAACCCATTATTCTTTTTAATGGCTAACACCAGCACACTAGAGGGCTAAGGACTCTTTGATCATGGTAAGAATGGTAACCGGTTCTGAATGAATCTCACAATAAAAATGGTTGCAGATGAAAAGCTTTTTACTACAGATGAAATACAGGGGAAAGTCATTTTTCTTTACTTTGGGTTAAATAGCCCATTAATATACAACCAAATAGTGTGTAATCGTGTTAGATGGACAAATGACCATCTGTTGTTTTACACAACACATTCATTGACAAACTTTGTGAAACAAGCACATGTAGAGTTATTGGCTATTCGGAAAGAATGTAGCATGCAAACATTTCCTGCCTTCATGGGAATTCCTGCCTTCTGCTCTTGAACGACTGAACTCTATGGGGATTTGTTTTGCAATTGCTGACACTGACGACAACCCATGACTCAAATTGCCACCGTCTGCTCTACTGAAGCCTGTGTTTTTAGCACTTAAGGGATGGGGGACGGAAATAGATTAAGACTGTCAAGTAAAAGTGGTAGGTGCATCTGTTTGTAGAGACATATACACTGTTGTCATCCTTGCTTGGGTCCCTCAAGATAAGGGCCTTGTCCTCATTAGTCTGCTTGTTAATCCCAGTTGTGTCTTGTAATCAAGGACGACCTCAATGCAATGAACCAAAGCAAGCCCACATACACGTGTGGTCATGCACACACATACACTTACTATTAGACTTTAGTTAAATAATTCAAAGGCTGATTATTTAATGGCCATCCATTATAATACTCTTATAAAGTCTGCTCAAAAGGTAGAATACATTAATACAAAGTGAGTGTGTGCAGTTTGTTTGTGTGCAAGTAACTAGCATTACTATGCTGCATTAAGTCTATGTATAATGGATGAGCGATGTTTTGAACAGCACAAGCACAAATTGGTACAAATAAGGCTGTTCCACAGTGTACGGCGCAGTGTAGGAATCTGCAAGTTAAAGCAAGTTATAGTAGCGAAAATTTTCATGTTTAGTGCGTAAGAACCTCTGTATTATTCGTCTCAATGATGAATATTAACTCCTGACCTGAGAAATTAGCCCCAAAACTGAGCAGCGATGGACTCACCTCATAGTGAGCGGTGCGCTGGGACTCGGAGATGAGCTGGGCATTGCAGATGTTACAATAGCTCTCTGTGAACAAGCCTCCATCCACGACGCCCGCAGACTTCATCTTCATCTGAGACTACACAAACACACACACACGCCCAGACAGATGCAAACATGAATACGATTAACATGCAGAACGGAATAAGATGTCAGTGAACCTTAGATTGTGTGAGAAGTGAACAAGCATGCAAATATCTCAACTTTGGAAAAAGAAATTCTTCAGAATGACTGATTCAAGATGACAAATCAGCCCAAAACATGTTGATCCTCTCTGTCAGAACATTCTCTCATGGCTGAGTTTGGCTCAGCACTTGGAAACAATGGCCTAAGGCTCCTTTCTGCGGTTTACCTAAAAATACTGCCTGTGTTTTTCTGTAGCCATTTTGCCACTCTGAACATGAAGGTGACACAGAAACTTCATCCTGATCTGTTTAGATATGTTATGTACTGATTGACCATGAAAATCATGGCAAATATAATGCCGCTTTATTGTGACATTCAGGTGTTGGAAGCAAAGTTGTTACAGTCTTAAGTCCATACAGCTCCAGAGGGGATTTAATTTAGCATTTCATCTAAGCTCTTATTCACAACTGTATTTATATCAATCCTGACCTACAGCAAATAACACCACAAGAAATGAACAAACAACCGAATAAATGAAAACATTTTGTTTTATTTAAAAGCTTGTCCAGTGATGATACAGCAGGTCACAAGCTTTCCAAAGCTGCCTTCAATGTCAAACATGATTTATGCCTTTAAAATGGTAAGACATTTCTACTTTAAATTATTATCCAAAATGTTATTATCCACTCTTATCCAGAACACAGGCTCCACCCCCCCACCCCACCCCCCACCCCCCAACCCCCTGCCTTGGATGGGTACAGAAGAAAGATAGATTAAATTCTAAATGAGAAAAAAAAGCTTCCATGCATGTCTATAAGCTCCAGTTATACACTCATCATCTCAATCTAATTAAGGAATACAGTTTTGCAAGGAATAAAATACTTTATCTGAGACCCACTTTAGGGTGTTCATTGTGTATTTTTGAAACAGAATCCCACGATTAAATCAGCCTTTATATAGTCAAACATAAAGATGTTGAAAGTGTGGTAAATTACAAGGAGAGTCTGACACCTGCATAACTTTGGAAAATAATTATGATATTTTTATTAGGGGCACATTCAAATCATCTATGAAAATGTCAAAAGATTCACATACAAAGGCTATTTATACCACTAAATAACCACAATATACCACCAACATTGCTTTACTGTTGGGTAGCGCCACAATAATGCTTTACTTTTAACAAACCACTTATCTGATTCAGATCCACAATTTAGAAATTTGCATTATTTCGAAAAATTGCAATCATTGCAATTGCAATAACAATAATTGCAATTGCGGTCTTTCATTTATTTTGGGTTTATGTGGGATTCCTCTCCTTCCACAACCTATTCTTTAAAAAAAGAGCAATCTGTTGACATCAGAGCGGGCACAATGTATTAATTGTGTTTGACTATTTACATATTTATGTACGTTTTCAGTCTGCACTTCAAACTGTGAAAATTGTTGTTATTATGCTCCTGTCTTCAAGGGTTATAGTCTCCGAAAAGCAATTGAAAATATTTATGGTAAAATGGGATGCTGAAGACTGTGTCTTGGCCTCCAAAAACCTGTCAGTTCTCTGAATATTTTACCAATAACAACAATAGAGACTGGGGAAGCTCAAGTGTTTTTCTTTTTGCTCTTATGGAAGACAGTGCACCGAAAATCGTTTCGTGATGTGCTCTGAGTTTTGTGTTAAACGTTCTATTCTCTTCAATATGTGTACCCTGTAGGCACAGCACTGTCTGGGTTTGGGTGAGTAACTGGTCCTGAGTGAATGGTTCAGCAACATCAACCGTTAAACAGGATGAGGTCTATTCGACAAGGGAGGAGCAATACAGAGAGAGTACAGGGATACAGAGTTTCATAGCCCTAGGTACACGAATGCTGCAGAGGTCAGCTCCTGGAGCTGTGAAAGAACGGGGCCTTTTGAGAGTAATGGTATCTCGGAAAGCGCCGCACAAGCAATGAGATCAGAAACAGACAAAAACTTGCATGTGTCAGCAGAGAAAAGCTGTGACAAGTCTTTTTCTTTGTCTTGGGTTTACTATGTAATTACATTTAGCTGATGCATTTGCCCTTCTCTCTCATGCACACACATGTCGGCGCACACAGACCTTACACACAGCACTGGTAATTAGCCCCATCTACTCATCCTGACTGCTTAGCACACCCTGGACCTTTCCATTAACTTGAGGGATGCTGCATAGACGTTCCATCATTATCTGATTGAACCCACCGTGACACATTTATGCATCTGAATAAAAAAAGAAATGCCTTTTATCCGTGGAACAGCCTTTGCTATCTCCTTTATGTGTGCTACTAATTTTAAAAGCTAGCGAGGTTTTGTTTTCAATATGAAATGCCACAGTTGACAAGCCGCAAACGTGTTTTGTCTAGAGGCTTAGTCACATTATTACCTCCACTATGTGAGGTGTCCTATGAGGCATGATAGAATAGATATATTTTGAAAACTGACACACTAAATTTGGATCAGAATTTACAGCCTGCCAGAATTTGGTGGCGAGATAAGACCCTGTGTTGCCTGTGGACATGGGCCAGGCAGGAGTGAGTCTCTTTTAATCTCTGGGCAAATTAAAAGTGAGTATGGCTGCAGAAATATCCATGTCTTCTTAATATCGCTATTACCTCTGATTATTACATGCAAGATGGGAGATGTAGGCTAATTAATAGAGGCAATCTGTTGGTGAGATTAATGGGATGGTATGTCCAATGAAGTGAAAAGATGGAGAGATACATTTAGGGAAACCTGATAAAAATAAAGAATGGAGATGAATAAGAGTGGAACTCATGGGGGTAGCATCTAATAAGCTCTCTAATTCGATATTTTCATAAAATCTGTTTTACCAATCTATGTTGAATCCAAATGATTGTAACTTTAGCATCACTTTATAAACATTAACCATGAATAAGCATGCATCTGTTTATCATAAACAGACAGTTTAATATCAATGTTCTTGTGATAATGACTTAACAACATAATTTTTATCTCTTCTACACTTAACAGCATCCAGATGTAACTGGAAACAACATGATCGTTCACGATGGGGCTATGTAAAGGAAGCTATTCTCAGGCGGCTACTAATCAAAGATGTTTTCATAATAAACCTCCCATGTTAATTAATATTTTCAGCAGAGGTCAAGCTCATCACGCAAGAGATGCTTACATCAAGGACTAATTAATTTATTATCAAAAAATGGAAAAAATGGCTTTCTCCACGAATATTTTACACCATTGTTGTGAACAAAACTGAAAATGACCTTCCATTTCTATATGAAAATACTTTTTTAACTCAATTTCAACAACATTCTTTACATGGGGCCAGACGTGATTGAATTAATACGTTTTTCCTGAAGAAATACATATCTGCCTTGTGGAGGTGGGTGTGGCACACACCAGGAGCAGGGGGAGAGACTCGGTACATCTGGTGGGTGGATAGGAGGATACAGAGGGAATGGGAAGGCATGAGAGGCCTTACAGATGGACTGAAAATATGCAAGACAGGTTGGTATCGTCAAAAATATTCAAAGCATCTGTTAAAATGAGGACAGGAGATGGCAGTTATCCAGAATAGCCCAAATAGAGCATAAAATTTTTTAAAAAACCTTTTCATTTGAGTCTTAAGAAGCACATGAAACCCCAAGGATCTGAGATGGAAGACACTTTCGGTTAATTCTCTTTCAAGACCACATCAAGTATTTAACATAGATGTGAACTCTGAGATCCCCTTAAAATTAAAGCTCACCCTCTGGCCCACCATTCATTAAATAACTGGTACTAAAATGGAAGAAGCTTTTTGTTTTTTTACCAATAAATTTAACCCAATGAGCTGTTTTCTGTCACCAGGACTAAGAATCTAAATGGCTCTGAATGACAGGGCGATTGCATTTACAGCATGATGGTCAAATCTGCTGGGGGACACTCTTCCTGTTTTTTGGCCGAAAAAAACTAACTTTCTTTGGTAAAATGGGCTGAGCATAGACTTATGTCTATGAGAAAAAGAAGCACAGAAAAGCATCAAACAGAGGAAGCACAGTAGAGGACATGATGGATGAAGACAGAGCATTGTTACAAGACTTTGAAGATTTCCTCTTATTTCTTATATCTGCTCCATCAGGATGATGTTCTCTTACTCCACTTTGTAATGGTGAAATGTCAAAAAAGTTTGATTTAATTCCAACTGAATTGCATTTTTTAAGTCACAGTCAAATTATGTATGCAGATAATGAAATATTGACATCAGCCTGTCAGTGTGACCTGTCAGTTACTTGTGGAAATAACAACATATAGGGTTTCAAAGTTAATACCGTCTAACCCTCTGTCAAAAAAGGCACAGTGCCATGTCACTTTGCTGCTTCGCATTAAATTCGGCTTCCTGTTTCACTCGGGTAATGTAATCTTTGTGCATACCTCTCCCCAACCCACTCGCCACAATATTCATAACCCTCCCCTTTGTACAGCTGCAATCAGAGGTGCTAGACTGTGAGGGAAAAGTCTTCAAAGGGGCTGAAGTCAGAGCCCAAATCCAAATCCTAACTCATTCTGTTTGCTCTGCGGGAGCTTGCTCTGTACTATTCTTGCTAAATACTGCAAAGCGAGCACATACACAACCTAAAGACGCTTACAAGAACACAAGTCTCACCACAGGATCTAAACCCCGGAATTAAAGATTTAAAACAAGGGACATGAATATGCAGTCAAATATATTAGCCGCCCTCTAACACACCACTCGTTTTAACATGTTACCAAAAAGATACATTTAATTTAGAATACAGAAACTACAGAGGATAGATAAAATTACACATTCAATTCCAAGGTCAAACATCCATTCTTTTTAACGTTGAGTGTGCGGCGTAGTTTCTGTGGTGTTATGACTCTCCTTTTCCTCACTTTCTCAACGTGACCCAAATTCTATTTTTGACCCTGATTCTCTTCTCAAAAGTTAGAGCAT